CATCCGAAAACCACATGCGCCCCTGTCTCATCGTCCGAGGTTCTCATCCATCTGCTCCGCATGGTCGGTGTGAGCAGCCTGACAGGACCCCCGGGAAATCCCATGTCTGACCCCAGAAAAGGCACGGAAAAAAGCGCTGAATGAGGTGGCAAGCATCCGGAGATCGGATACGCTGAGTGAGGGTGGTGATCATTGTTCATTCAATTCGACAGCTATGCCAGATCATCACAAGGAAGAAGCCGGAGCCAGAGGACGAGACACCATCTTGGGTGATCCTCAGAGGGTGGATGAGTCTTCCTAGGATTCTCAGCAAGACATGAGGGTGTCACCAGAGGAAGTGGAGGGACAAAAAGTCACCTGCAACATCTTGAAAAGACCGACAGTGCCGGACACATCGAAGAACAATTGCCGGACACATCGGGTCTGGAAAAATCTAGATAAGCTGGACTCCAGGGTCCAGGGCTTTCCAGGGTCCATTGATGCATCCTTCGTCCGTGATGTCCGAGACCTTCGTCGTTCGTCGTTGCGTCCGGCTGTCCTTGCAAAGCTCCTTCCAAAAGCGCTCCGCCACGGTGGAGGCGTTCGTGCCGTCCAAACTCTGCGCCATGTCCTGGGATCAAGCACCAGTTTGTCCGGGGACCGGTAAAGAACCGAACGTGGCTGGGACGCTTGGGGAAGTGTTTCATCACTCATCACGAACTGGACGTGGATCGAACGGTGCAACTGTGAGAGGCGAGAGAAGACAAGCCCCTTCTTCCTTGATCAAGAGAAGGAATGCAAGGAACTTCATGCCAACGGGTCTTCCAGCATTGGAAGTATTGGGAATGGATCAAAAATTTAGAACTCTTGGTGGACATATCAGTGGAATTCTGTAGATCTTTATATATCTTTTGAGGAAGGAGGCATCAGTGATGCACACGAGCACCGCAAGACCATCACTCCTGCACGGCTTCATCGGTGGCCTTGGCAAGTTGGGATGAGTTGCTGTTGAGGCTGTCGTCCTTGGCTCCTAGTAGCTTCTTGCTCCTAGTAGTAAGGCCAGGAGCTACCAGTAGCGTCCTTGCTCCTAGTAGCGATGCCCTTTGCTCCTATCCATGAGCTTTGCAGATGAGCAAGACATAGAAAGACCAGTATCAGTGAAGCACCACATGGTCCACTTTCGGAGTGCTGAAATTAATGTTGTTCATTTTTCAGTGAAAAAGGCACCTGCTTGTCAGGGTAGTCAGGGTTTCGTCGCTGGACTCTGTGTTTTGCTGTCATGATTGCATGGATTCAGGACCAAGTACATCCTACACCTGCAAAACTACAAAAAGAAGCTTCTCATGTGTGAAAAAACATTTGGGTGATACTAGTACTTAGAATAGGGAAAATAATGGAATTGTCATGACTCCACATATAGTCGTCGCACCCTAGCACATGTTGTCGCCGCAAAAATCTAACTACCACCGCAAGACATGAAAGCTCAACAAAGAAGACACTCTGTGCCCACCCAGGATTTGAAAATACCGATGCAGTCCTGAAAAGAAGACATTCTAGGTTTGAAATAGGTACAGATTTGTGGAATGGATCATTTATCACTCACTCTGTGCCCCAGGCTGCCAGTTTTTGCACATACTCCACGGTGCGGTTCTCACTGTTCTCCTGATCAGTGACCAGCCGATCTCAATTTGATTGCGTGGATACGGCACAGGCCGGACCGTAGCAGCCTACTTGTACTCCTCACTCCAAATAGGACCCAAAAACTCGTCTTGAAAGAGACACCGCTGCAGCTGCAACCTGTTTCACCGCTGCAACTCGTCCATCGACCCGTTGTCATTGTCCACCGCACGGAACGGTTTGCGCGTTTCGCCCCCTTTTCATCGGGTCGCCTTGAAGGTGAGTGCCGTGTCCGAGACCTTGTGCTTAAAGTCCCGAACCCCAACCTGAAGGAATCCGAAGAATGCAGTGAAACACCTCGATGGGTGCAACGAAGGAGAGTACAAGCGGAATATAAATGAATATAGTGGAATTCTTCCTTCGAGTGAAAAAAGGAGAAGTGCGTTGGCTGGGAACCACATCATACCCCATACCACATCACAGCCGGCTCCCAAGCACAAGATCTGCGGTTTGATCCGCTTCTCAAAAAGATGGTTGTCAAATGTCAAATGTCCAAGATCGCTGTCCGCGACGAATGATCCTCTACCAATCCATATCCAACGAACTGCCTTCATTTGATGTAGAAGCCCCCGGGAGAAGTCACCAAACCTTGGAGGCCCGCCGATGCTGGCAGTTGTAGACGCTGTACCAGAAATCACTTGGCCAAGCTGGGCCCGCCTTTGATTCAATCATTATAGCTGTTTCTGCACCGCCGAATACTAGGGCTCGAAACGCGTCACACATTCGTGTCTTTCGTCCATCTTGGGTGGGCTTCCAAGGAATTGGCATGTGCTGCGTGTGGTCCATGCATACAGCTTGGCAGCAGTACAGTAATGTTACCTGTCACCAATCTGACCCCACAGCTGCATGTCATAGAACCAAGCTACAAAACAATCTATAGGATTTACTGCAACCAATGCCTAAAACTAGATTCCGGACATCTTTTTGGTAGCCAACACCTAGCATTGAGCCTTCAGGATTCAAGTTCTCCAACCCATCTGGGCTTGTGACTTGTAGCCATTTTCTCCATTTTCACGTTTGGACCTGGGTCAAAAACGGAAGAGCGTCGCTCATCACAGGACGAACGATCGTGGGGAGGAAAGCGGCCGGGTTTTGGAAGCAAAAAAGGGCGTTGTCCCTAGTAGCTTCTTGTTACTACTAGTAAGGCACTTGTTACTAGTAGCGATG